GGGGGGCGGGCCGATTCGCCGGCCCGGCTCCCTCCCCCTGGCCCGCGCGGTGGCTAGGCTGGAAGATGCTCGCAAGACGCGCTCCATCACCCGCGATTCGGGCGGGGAGCTCCTCCCGCCACTCGCGCCCGGCGTCCCGCTCCCACCCGGCTCCCTGTGCCGGCAACGCTCTCCCGGTGCGGGATTCCTGAGGTCAAGGCTCCTCAGTCCGGGGCTCTTAATCTCCACTGCCAAGCTGGACACTGGGGAAAGGGCGGTGGGGATGCTCCCAGGAAAGGAGGCCAGCGGGAGCGAGACAACTGTTTATTTCGATGGCGGTGTTTATGGTGCATTTTTATTCCTAAGCACAGTCTCGCGTCCAGGTCTTTGCCCCGTTAGGAAGTGTAAACCGACGCCAAGCCCTTCCTGGTGCACACAAAGAGACCAATCGTGCGCATGTGTCTAATCCCTCTGCTGCTGGAGAGACTGGAGCAATCAGGCGAGGCACCCGTCGCCGACGTCCTCCCCCGAAGCAGCAGCGAGCACTGGAGTGGGGTGATTTATGCGCGCGTTTTAGTGAACTATGCCTAAAAGTGGCTCGTAGCTTTTCATCTTCTAGGGGAAATGGATACCATAGCTGTTACCGGTGGATGCAAATGATCTACAGAAATGTTCAACTCGTAAAAGCAAAACCATGAAGAACTTTGTCCCCTTAATGTAGGAACGCGTGACATTCAAAACCACGCTATTCTCCATTGTGAAGAAATTTTAATCTAAAAATCATATCCGTTTGATAAGATTCAAGGGAAAAGAAGGAGTATTAAATACTGGCTTGAGACAATATATGGATTTTTGCTATAAGGAAGGATATTTAATACCTAGTAAGTAAGGATGTTTCTAATTGAGAAAAAAAGAATTAAGATTGAAATTTTTCTGAGTCACTCCTTTCATTTATAAAGAGCCTATATTTAATAAAAGTTCAAAAGATCGTGTTTATTTCTGTTTATTTTAGTGAGCAATATTCTAACATGTTCTCAGTTAAAGTTTCGTAGCCCTATTGGGAACATAGTAGTATTGAGAGAAAGGAAACTACTTGATTGAAAGGAGAAAAAATATTAACCTGATGGATAAAGCACATGTTCTTCACCCTACCAAATGGGCACCCCATGGGTGATTTTAGTTCCATCGTTAGCAAGTCTCCATCTAGAGCGGATAAAACTCTGTAGGAACTCTAATTTGTCTTAACATCTCTCTATTCCTATTCACTCATTATGTAGCAAGCATTTGTTTGGAGTATCACCATGCAGAGGGCTGGATGCTGGGGTAGATACATCCAACCACATGGCAAGATCCCTTGGGCTGTCACTCTGGAATGAGTTCAAACTACCCTTCCCAGAAAACTTGCATAAACTCCCTACTAGATCAGTGTGACTCTCCTTCTCCAAATATGTGAGGCATGTTGTCTAGTCCACTTACCTGTTCCTCTTTTGTATATGACATGGCTATTATTTCTTTTCTTTGTGTCAAGACTGTTTTAGATTCACAGATACCTGAAATACAGTATTCCATTCAGTCCTCTTCGCAATCCCCATGTGTTAAGTAAAGGATACTTGCCATTTAATAGATGAAGAAACTGAGGCTCAGAGATGTTCTGATTCAGAGCCATAATTTTAAGTTAGGTTTGGTGTCCACAGTAATTTCCCTGATCGCAAACTTCCACCATCATCTACATAATAATCTTTCCACAAATCATTTGAAAGCTGTTTGGAGTCAGGGACTCATTTTGTCTCAGCAACAATCCTAAGGCAATACCCAAGAATAAGGTCAGGTTGGTAACACTGGCTTTTAAAGATTATGGAATGATTATGCCTTTGCTCATATGCTTACACAGGTCTTCATAACACCCTAATATGATCTGAATATTATCCTATATTTACTTTTGATTCTTAAAGTTTTGATATAGCAATTTGTGTGTGTGTGTGTGTGTGTGTCTGTGTGTCTATCTATAGCAAATATCCTCCCCCTCTTTTTCTACTGTTTGCTCCTTGAAAACACTGGGTTATATAATATAAATTTGTCATGCAAATTTTCATAGATCTGCTTTTGGTCAATTGAATCCTCACAGTATCATTTATTTTAGTCATCTAAGCCTCAAACTAGTAATATGACTTAGACATTTGAGTACATTCTTCCTTTTATAAAAAAGACTAATTTATAAGAGGTGCTGTGTATATCCTAATGAATAACATCAAAACAAGCAAAGTGTCTGACTGTCCCGTTGATTAGAGGGATCACGTGTTGTCAGCCTGGTCCATACATTACAAAATTCTCCACCAACCTTCCACCTCATAGTTTTTGTAGCCACTGATGATCATTGTTTAGATGCATTATTTCATTATGGATTGCAAGGTTATGATTTTCCACTTGGATTTTACCCCTGCATTTATAAGCTGTTTTCTTATTAAACAAAACAAAATTTTCTTTTGCCAACTACAGGATTGCCCTGAAATAGATTCCTTACAAGAAAAGCAGGGGATATGCTTGAGTCTTTATCAGCCACTTCTCAGAAATACTGAGTGGGTTCTAGCAAACGCAAAAGGAAACACTCCTCCCTTTGGAGTATCGTCAGAAATGGAGTTGTGTACATGTGATGTATTTCAATCCACCACAGTCATTAATCTTTTTGGTGTTTGAAATTGCTCCATCCTTGACCAGACGGAGCTGCTTCAGTGGACATTTTGTGTTTTTAACAGATCCCATGGATCTTCATAGCTTTGTTGTGATCCATCACAAAGTACTCCCGGCTCATCTTGTACATTTCCAATTCAGGACCTGAAATCCATTATTTCTTCTAGAAATCTTTGTTGGTTTTAATGGGCAATGAAATTCAGTTCCCATAGTCTGGTTACTAGGGTGTTATTTTTGCTATTGATTCTAAGCTTTTCAGTTATCAAGAAATGAAATACTTCTGGAAATATATTTGAAAAGAGAAAAATTCTCAGCTTTTACGAATAGTTTCAATTCAAGTTAATACTGACAGATTCTATATTTAAGGATTGCTTCTCTTTTGCGGTTTCATTATGTGAAATACGTAAAATTTTCCAAAGTCAAACCTATCAAACAAAGTGCATTGAGAGATACAGCTTTGATTTCTGTCCCTTCTGTCTATTTTCTACTTCTCTTTTTAAGAAACTATTTTTATTAGTTTTGGGTTTATCTTTCCACTGTTACTTTCTGATTATAAAGAAAAAGACATATATCTGCTCCTATTTCTGTTTTTCCTACTTAAAAAAATGCATAATAGCCACATTTTTATCATGATAGTAGACAGCCTCTAAAATGGGTCCCAAAGATCCTCACTTCTTGGTATGATATTCCGTGTAATTCCTCCAGGTCTGGGTTGGATATCTTTTTTTTTTCCCCCACTAACTCCTAGTGAATAGAATGGCGGAAGTGATGGAGTGTCCTTCCTAGCTTAGGTTATAAAAAGACTGTGGCTTCTCTCTTGGGTGATCTTTTTTCGATTGCTTGCTCTGGGGGAAGCTGGCTGCCACAGGATGAAGCAATCCTGTGGAGAGGCCCAGATAAACCAGCCTGGAGGCAGATCTTCTAAGGCTGTCCAACAGCTGTGAGTGCCCTGAGACATGAAATCTCCCCAGTGAAGCCGTTGGAGGCCACACCCTGGCTGACACTTTGAGAGAGACCCAGAGCCAGAACTAGCCCCCTAAGCTGCTACTTACTGGCTGTTTCTAAATAACAGAAGCTCTAAGATAACAAATGCATGTTATTTCCCTCTGCTCACTTTTGGGGTAACTTGTTATTGTCATGCATAAAAGGCTAATTAAAACAGATTTTGGTATGTGGAAGTGGGGTGCTGCCTTAAACAAAAACTGCAAAAACTGTCAAATTTGGGAATGGCTTTGGAATCCATCAGTGGTCTTGAGAAGGGTCCTGGTGAAAGCTTAAAGTAACCTGCACACTATGTTTGCGAAATTTTGGAGACTGAGCATACTGCCAGTGAGATCTTACAATAAAGTGAGGGAAATATTACTGGAAATTGGAGGAAGGTGCATTCTGGTTGTGTACTAGAAGGAAACTGAGCACTACAGCGTCTTACAGCTACGTGGAAGCTAGAAAATGCACCTGATAAACTATGTCATCTCGATAAGAAGATTTCCAGACAAAGTGTTGGTGGGGCAGCCTGTTTCTTTAGGGATATTTAGTAAAATGAGCAAGGAGAGAGAGGAGTTAAGGGAAGGACCATTAAACAAAAAGAAGCCAAGAAGTGGTGTTTTTGAATGTTCTCAGCCTTTCCAAACCACAACAGTGCCAAAATTAAGAAATGGCTTCTGAGCAAGGATCTAATCTTGGGCACTGCTATGAAAAGTTGGTCTAAAGATAAAGCCAAGGGTGGACTGTAAAATATGTATTTTATAAGATTTCAGAAATTAATGATTTTACAGTCACATCCTTGGCTGTATCTTCAGACCAAGTTTTCCTGGCAGTGCTCTGGACATGATCTAATAAAGAGATTCACAAGAAATCCACAAAATTCCTAAAAGAGTTACATACTTAGGAACATTAACAGACAAAGATCACCCAGAATGAGGAGAAGCTCTTGGACTCCCGATATTCTACGAGCAGGAAGCAGGCTGAGAGCAGAGCTCAGCAGCAAAAACAACAACAACAACGCTTCCTCATGATACAGTAAGTAGGACTGACGACTCAGAGGGAGGAACCAA